AAACTGATGGTTACCACCAGATGTGAGGTGGGTAGGGGGATGAGTTAAATAGATGAGGGGGATTAAGGAGTGCACTTGTCCAGATTTGTGAGCACTGGGTGATGTATGGAACTGTATACTTGAAACTAACATAACACTGTATGTTAACTATATTGGGATTAAAATTTAAAAAAAAAAATTTTATTAAAATAGAAAAGGAGGCCTATTTAATTACCCCAAGAAGCACACAATCACATATGTGACCCCACAGTGAAGCTTATTACAAGAACAAATACATTTTAGAAACAGTCAAACAAAAAAATTTCACATTATCTATGATGTCCCTCCATTTGGAAAACAGTCCCATTATATGCAAACTCAGTTCCATCAAGAAAAGAAATGACAAATACACTAGTGGACGTGCTTTTCCAAATTATAGTTAAGCAAAATCTGGTTATGTTTCCAAGTGTAAAAGGGGAATGCTGTTGATTCTCAAGTTGTTAGAAGAGGAAAAAATTACAAATTCTTTTTTTAATGTTTTTTTATTTATTTCTAGGAGAGAAAGAGAGAGACAGCGTGAGCAGGGGAGGGTCAGAGAGAGATGGAGTCACAGATAAAACAGGCTCCAGGCTCTGAGCTGGCAGTCAGCACAGAGCCCGACTCGGGGCTCGAACCCACGAACCACGAGATCATGACCTAAGCGAAAGTCGGACGCTTAACCGACTAAGCCACCCAGGCGCCCCAAAATATTACAAATTCTTGTGATTGACTCCTTCTAAGAGTAACTAAACAAATCTTTCAATAACATCTGACCAGGTCTTGATTTCAACATCATGAACTAAAATAAACAGTGTTTCCAACAGCACTTATGACTGATAGCCTCACTCACAGTAAATTATCAATTTACCGAATAATTTACCAAGTTCTTTACAAAGAACAATAGGTCAGCCTTTCCACTAATGTATAAACCAAGTTATTGAAACAATAAAGTATGACAAACTGTTGAAATGCAGATGTTTATGGCCAAGCCTTAAATATAACCTATATCTTCAAAGGGTTTGTCTGTTTATTTTTAACATCTTCAAAGTCAAATATCAGCAGTAAAATCTATCTCTCCTGGTTCTTTTCACTGCTATAAGGTCAACGTATTCTAAACAAATGGATATAGAGCCTTTAACAACTGTTACACAAGGCTCAAATATCCACAGTGGGGGGAAATGCCATCAAGAGAAAAAGGTATAAAAAGCTTTTGTTAAGCTGTGATTTTCAAATCAAACATGCAAAGTAGAAAACAAAATAAAAGAAAAGAACTGCCTAATTTCAGGGAAGAAGATTTAAGCAAGAGGTGGTATGAATGTGATAAAATATAAATATTTTAATGATAGTAATAAATAAAAAATATCAAATTGATAAAAGTATGGGCATACTAATATTATATACTATGCAAACACACACATATATATAAACAAGGGTTGGAAAAGAATTTGGAATACTTCAAATATTTAAACTATTTGCTGGGGTGTTTTTCATCAAAATTGTTTAATTGCATAATAAAGAAAATTGTGGAAAAAATATGAAAAATTCTACATTAAAAACTGAACAGTACTCATAATAGTTTTTCTTAATTTCAAATATGCATAAAATGAAGTGATATTATATCATAAAATTGATACAATAGAAATTATATCAATTAAGTCTAATAATTCTGACATTCCTTTCAGAATAGAAAATTTCAATTGTTCTTAGTGTAAATTAAAATGTATTTTAGGGGTGCTTGGGTAGCTCAGTTGGTTAAGCATCTGACTTTAGCTCAGGTCATGATCTTGCAGTTCATGAGTTTGAGCCCCGTGTCGGGCTCTCTGCTATGATCACATAGCCTGCTTTGGATCCTCTGTCCCTCTACCCTTGCTCCTCTGCAACTCACATACACGTGTGTGCACATGCTTTCTCTCTCTCTCTAAAAAATAAACACTAGGGGCGCCTGGGTGGCTTAGTCGGTTAAGCGTCCGACTTTCGCTTAGGTCATGATCTCGCGGTTCGTGGGTTCGAGCCCCGCATCAGGCTCTGTGCTGACTGTCAGCTCAGAGCCTGGAGCCTGTTTCAGTCTGTGTCTCCCTCTCTCTCTGACCCTCCCCTGCTCGCACTGTCTCTCTCCTAGAAATAAATAAAACATTAAAAAAATAAATTAAACATTAAAAAATGTATTTTATATATTTACATTTGCTCTATATGAAAGATTCCCAAATCTGGCTATGTATCCAATCACCTGGGGAACTTTCAAAAAATAAGTCCCAGGGGCCCATCTCTTAGAGATTCTGATTTGGAAAGTCTGGGGCAGATATCAGAAATCATATATGATATAATAAAAACCTCAAGTTGGTGTATTAAGCTGAATTCCTGATTCAGCTAGCTCTTGGACTGGTCCCTTATTTCAGTGCTTTTCAAACACTACTGTACATACCAATCACCTTGCAGATACCACTAAAAAGCAGATTCTGATTCAGTAGGTCTGAGATGAGACATAGGAACCTGCAGTTCTAACAAGCTCCCAGATGATGTCCACGCTGATGCTCCAAGGACCACATTTTGAGTAGTAAGACCTTATGGGCTCTCTTAGTCTTTCCATAGGTGAATGATAAAGGCACTCCCCAAAGCAATCCCTGTCACTAGAGTATTTTAAGTTTTACCTAAACATCCTTTAATATACTAGAGTATAGAATTTGCAAAATACTTAACATATCTTACTTGACATATCTTTAGTATGTATCCTACTACCAAGTGAATGGAAATTATTTCCTCCATTTACAGAGTATCACTCAAAGATGAGTATTACCAATGTCACAATGCAGAGATGAAATTAAAATGTACATATTTTCACTATATGTAGTGAAAGCATACAAGTATGAAATGAAATGAAAACATACAAGTATGTTGATCACAACCATGGTTATAATAGTGAAAAACTGGAGAAAATTCTAGAGTTCCAACAACAGAGGACTGATTAAATAATTTAGAAGGGCGACTATTAAAAATGATGATGTATAGGGGAGTACCTGGGTGGCTCATTCGGTTAAGTATCCACCTTTGGCATTGGTCATGATCTTGTGGTTCATGGGTTTGGGCTCTGTGTCAGGCTCTGTGCTGACAGCTCAGAGCCTGGAGCCTGCTTTGGATTCTGTGTGTCCCTCTCTCCCTGCCCTTCCCCCACTCCCACTCTCTCTCAAAAATAAACAAACATTTTAAAAAATAATGATATATGGGGCACCTGGGTGGCTCAGTCAGTTGAGCATCCGACTCTTGATTTCGGCTCAGGTCATGATCTCATTGTTTGTGGGTTCAAGCCCCGCATCTGGCTCTGTGCAGACAGCACTGGAATCTGCTTGGGATTCTCTCTCTGTCCCCCTCTCTCTGCCCCTCCCACCTGCACACGTGCATTCTCTCTTTCTCTCTCAAATAAAACTTTTTAAAAAATAAGGATGTAAATTCGAAACTACCGGTAATGAAAAGATGTTAATAATAAGTAAAAAGAAAAGGTTTTATAAGACCTTAAAGATCCTACTGTGTGGGGAAAAAATAGTCATACTATACATTTTTGCAAAAAAAAAAAAAAAAAAAAAAAAAAAAAAAAAAAAAAAAAAAAAAAAAAAAAAAAAAAAAAAAAAAAAAAAAAAAAAAAGAGTCCAGAAAGATATAAACTAAAATGTATAAAGCATCCTCAAAAGACTGAAATTTCAGGTGATTTTGAAGTTTATTTGCTCATATTACCTAACATTTCTACTGTGTCATAGACCTTATAAAATTCTGAAAGGGGAACAAGGAAGTGAGAAGAAAGCCAAGCAAACCCACACATGTTCTCACCTTTCAAGAACTACTAGAATGGCTTGACTGCTAGGTAACTTGCACTTAAAGAGTCAAGGGACTTCCTACATTCAAAGCACTTTGAAAGCTGGTTAAAATTGCAATCTTGTATCCCACCCCAGACTTACTGAATTGAATCTTTAACAACATGTTCTGGAATCTACATATGAAGCAAACACTGACTCAGGCAGTAAAGTTAGGAAATGGTAACCTACAGCAAATTCAGAATGTGTGAAATCACAACACATATGTACACATCCATATGCACAGAAACCACTGGAATTTGAATAAAAACAAAAAAAACCTGTACTTAGCAACTTACTTTATTCAATCTTAATTTTAAGCAACTCGTGAACACGACATTTTCCATGGGCTGATCGAGGTCACAAAGGTTTTCCTTATATGTGAACATATTTCTCTGAAGCTATTCTTATTATATAATCCCTTCTATAATGTTCTATCCTTATTAGCTCTTCATTAGTTAAAAGTACCATACAAACATTTATTAAGGAACCAAATATCTAGGTAATTCAACTATTTTCCTGTTGTTCTCATTTCTCCTTTCTAAACACATTCCAGTTGACTAACCTCAGTAGGTTCTGATGATTATTTCTTCCAGAGATCCTCTTTGAGGTAAATTTAAAGGCATTGGGCAAGTCTATATTAATAGAAGTCCTCAAAGAATGAAGCATAACATTTTCTGTTCTGAAAAACACCATATGAATCCCCAAAAATTTGTTGAAAGAAAAAGAGAAAAGGGAGGTATCGCACTAAATACGTCCCTGACATATCACACTCCCAAATATTTAGTATAACAATCAACTAACTTATAAGGCATACATTTACTAAAAGTTTTCAAAATGAGACCTCAAGAGTTTGGGGGAATTTCCCAAGGTTAATAAATTAAGAACATTTTCCCAAAGAAGGCACTGATAGACTTTCTTCCTTTAAAACTGAAGGGAAAGCAACAGAAGAGAAAAGACCAGGAGGAAAAAAGGCTGCCATGAGCTCCCAAGAGATCTAGGGAAAGAGCATAATTTCAGAGAGGTGGGGGACCAGCCTTTTTTTTTTTTAATCCATAATACATATTAATCCTATATAATTCAGAAGGCCAGGCTTGCTAAAACTGGAATGTATTAAAACCAAGAAGATTATATACCCACCTGCAGCTCACACCAAGCAACCTCAACCCAGGTTTCAGTGTCCAATCCTTTATATACTGTTTTAAATGCTCCTCTTCCCAGCTCAATGTCAAATTTCAGGAACCTGCCACTAGGAGAAGTAGCTACAGCCTTCATTTCTGCTTCTTCTTCCATTTCCTTTTCATTTTTCTCCTTCAAACAATCTTTTGAGGACTCTAAAGTTGCCTTTTGACACTGTTCGTATTTAACTTCTTGTCCACCTCCCAGCACATTTGTAGGAAGCTTTTCTACTCTTGGAATATTTGTTGTGGTCTTCATTCTCTCATCTTTGGAGGAAGATTCAGCAACTTTATCATCTTCCATCATCTCAACACTCTTTCGGAAGAATCTCTTCCTTTCTGTAGTTTCCCCAGTAGCAGAGAAAGTACTATTTTTTTCTTTTAGTCTAGCTTCTACTGACAACGTTGCTGCAACCTGAGCAGCTCTGTCTTCCAATGAAACTCCATCAGGTTTCTCAGAATCTTCTGTGCTAGCAGGCTCTCCTGAATCGGTAGCCATTATAATTGAAGTTAGCACTAAAATTTTTCCTGTTCCACTCTTTAGTCCAGTTACATCTCAGGTATCAGGATTATCAGAAAGGACTTCCATTTATGTGGTCATATGTTTCCATAGCAACCTGAAGGGAGGGGAAAAGGATATTTTAAAAACCCCACAAAGGAAATCATTAAGGAGAAAACAAGTCACCTGACTGTTTAATCCCTTTTTTCTTAATAATAAGTTTGCTCTTTTTCTGTCCAATCTTAGCAACCAGCACACTCCAGGGACTGTCTTATCTTGTTTACCACTGTAGTCCTCAGTGACTAGCAGACTAGTTGGCATATAGCTCAATAAGTATTCATACTGCATAAATGTTGGTTAGGAACTTAGTTCCCAGCACCATCTATTAATCCATCATATTTAAAACAAGTATCCAAACCCTGAGTTCACTTAGCTACAAGGTAACAAGCAATAAGTAAGATAAGCACATAATTCCTCAGTAAGTGGTTTTTATCTAAAATACTGAAATTAATCCAATAGTAGTATTTTTTATTGTGGTAAAATATACTTAATATCTAATTTACCATTTAACTGTTTTTAAGTGTACAATTCAGTGGCATTAAGTACATTCAAATGCTGTACAACCATTACCACTATCTATTTCCAGAACTTTTTCATCATTGCAAACTGAAATTCTATATCCATTAAACTGCCCATCTTCCCAGACTCTGGTAACCTCTATTCTCCTTTCTGTCCCTATGAACTTGCTGATTCTAGGTACTTCATATAAGTGGATTTATATAATATTTGTCCTTTTGTGTCTGGCTTATTTTACTTTGTATAATGTTTAAGGTTCATTCATGTTGTAGCACGTATCAGAATTTCATTCCTTTTTAAGACTCAACAATATTCCATTGTATTTATATACTGCATTTTGCTTCTCCATTCATCTGGTCAACAGATTGGGTTGTTCTACTTTTTGACTGTTGTGAATCATGCTGCTATGAATACCTAACAGTAGTTCCAAAAATGTAAATACTTATTTATGAGCTTACTTACCTTCAGATATTAACAGAAAGAAACTGCTGTCAAATATTAACACGCTATCCCAAAAAATTGCAAGAAAGACTTAAAAATATGCATCCTCTGAACCAACAGTTCCACTTATAGGAACTTGCCTTAGAAAATAGTCAAGAACTGGGCAAAGATTTAACATTCATTATTACACTTAAAATTTGTAAAAACTATCCTAAACATAAGGTTAATAGAGGTTTAGTTAAATATCAAAATGAGATGTGACACAGCATTAAGAACACTATAATTTTTAGTGAGATGGTGCCTCAGTTAAGTGTGGACTCTTAATTTTGGCTCAGGTCATAACAACACCATCGTGAGATTGAGAGCTGCGTCAGTCTCCACACTGGGCATAGAGTCTGCTTAAGATTCTACCTCTCCCTCTCCTTCTGCCTCTCGCCTGCTCGCACGTGTGCATGCTCTCTCTCAAAATAAAATAAAATAAAATAAAATAAAATAAAATAAAATAAAAGGGACACTCCCTATATGTTATATGGTAAATGAAAAAAATGAAAAAAGAAATATATACAAGCTTCCATACACACATGCATAACTGGTGGAATTATGAACTTTTTTTCTTTCTGCTTTCTTGTATTTTCTAAAACTTTACGCAAGGAACACATGGAAATATGCAGAACATATAAGGAAAAAAAAGTTTTTCAAATGAATAGTCAAACCATCCATAAGAAAATTCTTCCCTTCTTACCACAAACATGTATCACAAACTTAAGCCTATATACCTATCATGTTATGTGCCTTAGAAGGCACAATTTGTCAGGTCAAACCAAAAGTAACAGAAATATGAAATATGAAAAATTGAAGAAAAACAATCCTGAACTAAAACAAAATAAGCAGAAATATCCTAAACTGTTCTACACATTTAACACAATTCCTATCAAAATCCCAGCCAGTTTCTTTGCAGAAATTAACCAGCTTATCCTAAAATTCATATAGAACTTCAAGGGACCCAGAATAGCCAAAAACAAAAATAATCTTGAAAAAAGAACAAAGTTGGAGGACTCACCCTTCCCAATTTTAAAACCTATTATAAAACTGTAGTATTAAGACAGTGTGGTACTGGCATAAGGATAGATGTAGAGATAAATGGAAAAAAAAAAACCAGTCCAGAAAAAAAACATATATTCACAGTCCATTGATTTTCAACAAGGATACCAAGAAAATTCAATAAAGAAAGAATAGTCTTTTCAACAAATGGTGCTCGGACTACTAGATATCTACATGCAAAAACCTGAAGTCAGACACTCTAAGTAAGGTTTCCTGGAAAAGACACCCAAACTGAATCTTGCAGAAAGAAAATTAGCTGATCCAAGCAGAGGTAAGGTCACGAGAAAAGTCATGAAACAGTATGGGGTAAGTGCATATGAGTGGTACCATGAATAGTTTACTCACATATTAGAAGCGGGCAGATGGGGACAGAAAGTCAGACAGTCACCAAGGATATCTATGCCATACAATGTAAAACAGGGAGACCAGTTAGAAAGCTACTGCAATAATACAGGAAAGGGATGCTGAGGTTTGAATGAAAATAGTGGCAAGAGGAACAGATTCAAGATACATTAAAGAAATACTAAATACAAGATTTAATATCTAAATGAATGTGATTGTGAGGCAAAAGAAGAGTCTATAAAAACTCCCAGAAATTTGCCTATCAGGTGACAGTACGAGGACATAACTGTGTTAATACCAGAGCTAGGAAGTGATCTATGAAGTTACACTTTCAAATCAATATACTTTGAAAATCATCTAACAGCACTAGCATTACCTGTTAAGTGAGAAAAAGTAACTAACAATGACTTACTTAAGTAGATCTTTTTTTCTTTAACTTATTCTAACATAATTTTAGACTTGGAAAAAAAAAAAACCTGCAATCATATACAAAGAATCCAGTATGCCCTTCACTCACATTCCCCAAATGTTAACATTTTAGGTGGGATATGCTTAAGTAAGAATAACATTATTCACTTCACTTTACTTAAAGGTTATCCAGAAACCTCAAGAGTAGAGATCCATAAGTAAGATAAAAGGACTTCCAAACAGAAAAAATAGGTAAAATTAGAGAATTTAAGCTGGAAAAAGCATTCAAAAATTTTTAACTCCATATCCTCTTCTTAAAAATTATGGGTTGCCTGGGTGGCTCAGTCAGTTAAGTATCTGACTCTTCATTTCGTCTTAGGTCATGATCTTGTGGTTGTGAGATGGAGCCCCAAGTCAGACTCTGTGCTAAGTGTTGGGCCTGCTTAAGATTCTCTCTCTCTCTCTCTCTCTCTCTCTCTCTCTGCCCCCAACCCCATCCCTCCCCTGCTCGTGTGGTCTCTCTCTCTTAAAAAACTTTAAGTCTTACTTAGAACCCTAATATAAAAATAGAGGGACAAGTAGTACTACTCTCGTATAATAATTCTAAAAGGTTTGGTCACCTGGTTTCCCAAACTATAAGGATAAGAAGCAACAAATAAAGAGTGGAGAAATGAGTGTTCCCATAGTCTTCTAACTTCTAAAAACCAACCCTAAGACAAAATTGTTCCTAAACAGGGACATTTGTAAATATGAAAAGATTAATTCATCAGGATACTATAACAATTATGAACATATACACATCTAACAGCAGAGCTCCAAAATAAAATAAACTGACAAAATTAGAAAGAAAGAATTCAATAATAATAGATGATTTTAATACCCCATTCTCAGTGTTGGAGGAAACCACCAGACAGAAAAACAAAAAGAAGCTGGAAGACTTGGCCGATACGACCCACCAACTTACCTAACTGCCATCTATAGAACATTCCCAATAAGAGCAAAATATACATTCTTTTAAAGTACACATGGAAAAATCTCCAGAGCAAATAATATACTATATCATAAATCTCAATAAATTTAAAAGAACTGAAATCAAAGAGTATGCTCTCTTACCACAAAAGAATTAAATTACAAATGAACAACAGAAGGGTTCCTGAATGGCTCAGTCAATTAAGCATCCAACCCTTTATTTTGGCTCTGGTCATGGTCTCACAGTTCATGAGTCTGAGACACACGTCGGGCTCTGTGCTGACAGTGAAGAGTCTGCTTGGGATTCTCTCTCTCCTTCTCTCTTTGTATCTCTCTCCCTCTCTCTCTCTTTCTCCCCTTCTCTCCTTATCTCTCTCTCTCTCTCTCTTTCTGTCCCTTCCCAGCATGTGCACACTCTCTCTCTCAAAATAAATAAACTTTAAAAATAGAAAAGAAATGAACAGAACAAGGATAGATATATATATATAATTGGCTCTTGAATAACATGGTTTGAACTGTACAGTTCTACACAGACATTTTACAGTACAGTACTGTGAATTTGCTTTCTCTTCTTTATGATTTTCTTAATAACATTTTTCTGTAGCTTTATTGTAAGAATACAATATATGATACATATACACAATATGTGTTAAGCATCTGTTTATGTTATTGGTAAAGCTTTGGTACACTATTATTAATAAGTTTTTAGAGAGTCAAAAGATATTCAATTTTTCAACTGCACAGGGGTTGGTGCCCCTAACCCCCACATTATTCAAGGGTCAACAGTAGATCAATGGAATAAATTTAACAGTCTAGAAATAAACCTTAACATTTATGGTGAACTGATTTTCAAAAGTGACCAAGATCATTGAATGGGAAAAGAACAGTCTTTCAACAAAAGGTGTGGGGGCAACTGAATATACACCCACACAAAAGAGTAAAGTTGGATCCCTGCCTCATACCATACAAAAAAAAAAAAATGAACTCAAAATGGATCACAGACCTAAATGTAAGAGCTAAAACAATAAAACTCTTAGGAAAAAAATATTGGAGTTATTTTTAGTGATTCTGGGTTAAGCAATGATTTCCCAGATACAACAAAAATAAAAATGATAACACTTGAGAAGATGGGCCTCATCAAAATTTAAAACTTTTGTGCTTCA